GTTTTGCATATACCACAAGAGACACATGGTCACAAAACTAGGGTGATCAAGTAAAACAATTTAAAAGAAGAGATCTAGATCAAAATTAGCATGACCAGACATGGTTGCCAAAAGTTCATCTCATTGGACCTATATCTGATTCAGTGGCAATAACAAATCTATATAATCAACCCCCAAGTTTATTTAGAATAATGTTTGGCTTGTTGTCATACACCACAAGACATTAGTATAATAATGCCCAAGGGAAAATAAGGGGAACCACGAAATTTATATATATCCAGTGACTAAAGCAGTACATAGGAGTGAGAAAAGGTAAAACCACATTTGTCAGGGATCATTGTCAACGAAACCAAGAGTTAGCACGACCAAAATTTAGGCCAAGTTGGCAAATCAAAAGTTGACAGTCATTAAGAGTAAACTTTAGATTTTCCAAACTCATTTAGCCAAAGAGTTACACGTGCACACAGGAACAACAATCAATTCAAATGAAGAAATTAAGAATCTATAATCTGTAAACTTAAGCCGATACAATTCAGGAATTTGACATTGTTCTCCAAGTTTGTCAGTGACCAATATCCCCAAATTTAAATTTCAATAAACAAGTGCTTTATTTCCCCAAATCTCAAATGTAGTTCTATATAAAGCCATCAGCAATTGGACCATTTTGATTTCAAAAGTTGAAAGTTATTCCAAATTTTGAATTGGAGGAACTGTAAATCACAGAGATAAGAGAGCATTTGAGTGACAACTTACGAGAAGTACGTGATCATCTTATGTCATTAACTTAATGGTGCTACATGCACATTAAAATCAACATCTATATCCATAGCCACCTATGTATAATAAATTTAAGTAAATCTCCAACACTGCAGCTACTTTTGTACTCCTTGATTTGAGATAGAAAACTCTAAAAGGAAACTAAGAACCAATTAAATAGATTAAGAGCATTAGTTACCTTCTGAATCAACAGGAAATTGCCTAATAAAACTTTTTAAGTCTGGCCCTGCACCTTTACCTGTTCATAGAAAATGACAAATCAAAATTATACAAATGTCATATTAGAACAATCATTTCCTATTCTTTAACCACTTTGAATGGAAACATAAGAAATTGAAGGTCAGCTTACCCGTGCTCACGGTTTTGCCCTCTTTGGCTTTTCTTTCCTCTTCTTCCTTCTTGAGCACTAGATTCATAAGTGAAATTGATTAAGGCTGGAAAAGTAACTGTAAAATGATAAGGGTTCGAGCGATAATAGTAACATGAAACAATTTATTTAAAGGCCTCAGAATGGATAATTTAAGCATGATATGCTTATATGGCCAAATTTGTAGCAATCATAACCATCCCTGATTCACTGAAAAGATATTCATCAATTATTCCATCATTAAGCAACTTCCAGAAGTCAAACTCTTCATTAATTATTTTAGGAACATCTAGTGAAAAAATTGATGAACGTCAAAAGCATGAGGTTAGTACACTCACTAGCAACACTATGTCTAACACGTTCTCTTCTTGCCTCCAGCTCAGCCAGTTCCTGAAGAACGTGTCAACAAATTAAGGAAAGCAACACACTAAGCCCTTGTTTGAGCCCCATTTTCCAATAATACATTTTTCTCCAAATTCATTTTCAACCACATATTTCTCTTAATAAAATATATTACATGCAAACCTAAAACTTTTTCCACCTTTTCAACCACATTTTCCAAAACCAAATAATGTGGCTCAAACAAGGGATAAATTTATCAAAATATAACTTAGTTCACATGCTAATTCAGAAAACAGCATGCCTACTTCTAAATTAGCATAGCTGGATGTGAACATATTAGCAGAAAAAGGAAAATGCAGGAGCCAACAAGATTTAAAACTCTTCATGCGTGCACGTGTGAGAGAGATAGAGAGAAGATTTAAAATATAAATAATTAACACCGAGCAGTTCTCGCATCTTTTTCTTTTTTGCCCTTTCGATAGGTACAATGGAGGCTCCCTCTTTTTGTTTGGTATCTAGAATTAATTGACAATTTATTTCACAACCCCGAGGCCAAATAAAGAGTTTGTTAACAGAATTGAGAAAGCACGTGTTAAACAGTATGAAAAAGTAAAATAGCAGGTCAGTATGATGAAGAGTTTCGCCGATCACACAAATGAATGCCAACCAACCTGAAAGATATACACAAGACACTACCACTTATCCAGTACAGAGAGAAAGAATACAACCAATTTATACCTTTTTCGATAGCGTAAACTGAAATCAGGTATTACATTATTGCTAATATTCTTACTAAACTTTGAAAGGCCCTCAAGTCGAGATAAAGAACAAATGTTGAACATCAAGATTGGCCTTTAGTTGCAAACCTTGGGAAGAAGTGCATTTTATATAGAAATGTAAAGAAAAAGAGTAACTTACCTCTGGTGTGGGAGCTCTTTTCCGCTGTCCATTAAGCCAGCATATCCATTCAACTATAGCAATACTATCAGAATATCAATCCCAGATTTTAAAAAAGAAAAAAGGCAAATATGCACATACAAAATGTTAATCCATAGCCACAGAATTTACCAAAATCCTACTACAAAGAAGTCCTTCCATAATGGTGGAGTTTGGTGCATGGAATAATGTATTATACATAGTATTAAATGCACCGACTAATTTGGATTTGGTTTCAGAATTTTGCACGAAGTGAACCATTATGGAATAAATTGCAAGGCAGATAGAACATATACAAAAATGGGAGGTGAAGTAGCCATCTGGGTACTACACACCACTACTTCTGAATACAATGGATCAGGTGAGCATGTGAAACAAAAGAAATTTGAGAGAATTTCCAGGCATACCTGGAACACTTGTGGGATCCTGCTCTCCTTTAAATACGACCCACCTTTTCTCCTTCACTGATAGATAAACCCGGCATCATTGCAAGAAAGAGAGTTTTAATGCTCATCGCTTAAGTGTGCGTTACAAATACACCTAAAAGCTTTTGCACGCTAAAACCTTTATTTTATTTAGGTCCAGCTTGATTCTAAGACCAGTAATTCCTATGTTATTTTCCTTTAGTATCTATATATTGTTTATGTCGATACTATGTATCGAATTGTCAAGAATCACAATTTTCCTACCCTGCTAAACCTAAATGGTAGTTAATTAAAATATAAATAAGAGAAAAAATAAACATTTTCTACAAAACAATAAATAGTAACAGCATTTCTTCCACCTCAATTGATTACAGCACTCCTTCAATACGATCAATCTTTTATAACAAATTACAGCCATAGGAGGGAATGCATTCCCATTATACAAACACCATAATTATGAATAAAATTAACAATTACATTCCAAAAAAAAAAAAAAAAGGCATACTTTTATTTTAGTTTATTTACCAAAAAAAAAAAAGGAGGAAGAAGAGAGAAGGAGACGCACTTACTGATACCATCGATTTCTTCAGTTCTAGCGAAATAACGATTACCGCTTTTGTCCATTCCCACTAATGTTCTGCTACTGAATAGCCCTGCAACCCTTGCCCACAGCCGAGACATCGCCCAGTTACAAATGATCAATATTGGGGATTACGAATTTGTTCCGTTGAGGAGATGCGGGATTGAATTGAATTCGAATTCAACAGAAAGGACTGGTGTATTTGTATATAATCGATGTTGCTAAAACGCTGTCCTTTTGACAAAGGTTTGTATCAATGTAAGAGAAACCCTCTTTCAATTTTATTTTATTTATTTTTTGTTTAACTGACTTCTATTTTTCTTAACTCAGAGGGTGTTTGGTAGGAATTTTTATGTGAAAATGTATTTTTGAATAGTAAGTTGATGGGGAATGTGTGGTTGAAAAATAAGAAATTTTTTTTGATTTACGTGTAATATTATTTTAATAAAGAATATGTGGTTGAAAAGAAAAGAGAGAAAAATATATTTTGATAAAAATGGGTGTCAAACAGGGTCTTAATAATCAAATTAATTTGAATAATGCTATGCAGCCTTATTGATTACAACTCAATTTAGGTGATGTTAGATAATAAGTTGAATAAAATATGAAATTAAATTACCTATTTAATTTCACCTATCATTCAATGTTATATTAACTCCACCAAGATTGGAGTTGTAATATTACTCAATTAATTTTATTGTCTCGTTTGGTGAGAATTAAATTTTTAATAGATTTTGATAAAAATTACTAAATGTGTGGTTGAAAAATTATGAATTCATGTCATATTTGATTGAAATTAATTATTGACTTTAATTTATATTAAAATTTTAATTTTAATCCATGCAAAATAGGGACATTAAAAAAGAAGAAGTCAACTTTCGATTTTCACGGAAATATGTATTTACCAAATTAATGTGCACAACGCATACAACATGATAGCTTCGTTGAATTCCAAATGCATGTTTGTGTCACGATTCCATCACTAGATGGATGGGAGCAAATAGCATCTTAAAGAAAACGCGACTATGTGACTTGAAGTCGGGGTTCTTCATCATTTGAGATTCTTTAATTTCAACTTCTTCAACTAATCCCTTTTTGTGGTTTTTGAAGATTTTCATGATGCTATTTGGAGACATGCCACCAAGAGCGATGCATACAATGATTGTCAATTGTGTCGATAATATTTCTTTTAGAAAATGAAGTTGTATTTGTGACAGGATAACACGATATTCCTGTGTATTTTGCCTTTTACTACAATGGTGACAGACACGGAATAGATCTAAAAAAAAATATTTTGCTCTATTTGAAGGGATGTCAACAATTCGAGCCAAGCCAGCACGGGCTTGGCTTGAGTAAAATAAAGTCCGAATCATTCTCTCGAAGCTCATCCTTTTCATCATAATTGATCCGCTTTTCCCAAAGGGCTTTTTTGGCCCAAGTCTAGTAGAGTGAAAGCTCAACCAAAAAATTGAGGCTTGACAAAACTTTTGCCCTAGGCCTTATCGAGTCGAGACAGCTCTTTTTTTAATTTTATATTTATAACACATAGGCAACACGCCACCTTTAAAACACAGTTGCCTTTTTTAAAAAGTAGCTCTGTGCTGCCTATTTAAGACCTGCCTCATTTTATTTATTTATTTTTTTTTTTTTAAACGAGCTGGCTCGGTCCAACGCCCTGAAACAAAGCTTAGCCCGAGCCTCGAGTCGGGCCGACTCGAGCTTTTTTCAAAATGAGTTAGGGGTGTCCCGAACCAACGAGTCAAATTGTCATCCCTCAATTTGTTCGTATTGCT